CCCCCCCCCACTGTCCCACAGTGCTCTGTTCTCCTTCCCCCCACTCCAAAGCTACCAAACTAGCAGACAGCTGGCTAGCAGACAAACCACAGAGTGATCTGTCAGGTATACTTGCAGGCTGCCCTATCCCATTGCTGCAGAGCAGAGACAGGAACAAGGCTGCTATCAGCATGGGCTGCCCAGGTGGGAAAACTGGTGCTCTCTGCTCTCCCAGCCTGCTCCCTGGCCCTTTAAACATCCTGGAACACTTGCAGATCAGGAGCCCAGCACCCTGGGGTGCCCGGTTCCAATGCTACAGGAACCCCTTTAAGCATTCTAGAACCTGTAGCTCAGGAGCCTGGCACACTGGCTGGCCCCATGCCAGGACCAGTTGAGCAACAGGTGCGAAGAGACCCCCTAAGGGTGGTGGCACTACAGAAATAACATTTCGAAGCAGCTTGAGGCAGCTGCAGGGACACAAAGGAAACTGATTTCAAATCTCTCTCTTTTTTTTTTAAACTAACACCCCTTACAGATTCAGCACAGAAAAAGCAAGAGCCGGGGTGATTTCAGGAGGGTCAAATCCCCTTAGCTGACATGGTCCCCTACCTTGTGCAACATAGAGGATGGCCCGGGCTACCTTGAGCCTTTTCTCCCTGGCAGTGACCTCCAGCCCATCGAGGAGCCGCATGGCATGAGTCCGGTGCTGATTGTTGTCCAGCTCGGTCCATTTCTTATCATGCACTGAAAAACCAAGAACGATCACTTTGGTGAAATGGAAGGACTAGCTATTTCTATACCTCCCTAAAAGCCACAACACCACGGACCAGTTGCAGCTCCTCTTCCTATGTAAAGATGCAGATTACACTGCCAAAAATTCAGGGTATCCAGTATTGACATTAAGATAGACTGTCAATCTGGGCAAGATGTTCATCACAACCCTGGAACAGAATATAAACATATCTGATCTGCTAGAGGTCACACTGAGGAGACTCACTAATGCCAGCTACTGCAAGATCAGATTAATGAGACTTATCCTTTGAAATATACATCAGCAACAACCAGAAATCAGTAGAGTCTAATAGCTGGTCAACAGTAGGTCAGGCTTCCCAAACTGTCTGGGTCTTGTACCATAACATGGATAATAAAAGTTAATACTAGGTCATTACTGCTGCCCTTAACATCAGTTATCCAACAACCTAAGAGAAACTGCAGAATTGTTCTTCCTTTTTCCCTATTTATATTTCCCTTTTCCTTTCTCTGCTTGCCCATTCCTCCCTTCACATGCCCTCTAGGAGTTTGCCACATGCCCTATGAGATACAAGTATCCCAGTTTGAGACCCAAAGGCATAGGTAAAATAAGTTGATTGTTCATAGTGCCTTCCACAGCCACAATTGGCACTAACTGTCCACCACATTTAGAGAGATAAATTACTGAATGAGCCAGAAACAATGTGCTCATGGGTGAGGTACATTAGCAAGGTGTCCCTTGGATAGAGACAATATTTGCCAGCAAATACTGTAAGTTGTAAACCAAGTAAGGGATGTTTGTAGTCAGTTCCTGCCCTGACACAGGGATAACACATCAGTACATGCATCTCCTCATGTATGTTCTACAGGTGACCCTAAAACCTATGAACAGGGGACAAGGAGGGAAGAATAAACTTCTCTTACCGTGGACCCTAAAGTCTTCCTCAAAGCACTTTCGGTTCAGCTGGAATTCTGGGCCTTCCGTGTAGCTGTACAGTTCTGCCAACATACCATAAACCGTGTCTGGTTGTTGTCAGTTTTCTTTCAGCATCCCCCCCAAAAAGTACTTCTCAAAGACTGCCTACAGTAGTCATGTAACTAACAGGCGCAGACCAGAACACAATCCTAAAGCTCCTGACAATCAGGTGTGTTTTTTTTTCTTTTTTTAAAGTCCCCATCACTCACATTTCACATAATCAAGAGTTTAAAACAATAAAAAACCCAGCGCGTTATGCAAGTGAAATTTAACATGAAAACTTTTGATGGTTAAAACTATTATTGCCAAACTAAAGATGTCTTTAAATTAAGAGAAGATATTTTTGCCTAGAAGTACTTGTAATCCAAATAGCAAAGCAACTGTTAGGATGACAACCAAAAACCCAATTAAAAAGAAAGAAAAAGACACACTCAAACGGAACCAACAGTTTCCGTTGTCCGACTCGAGAAAAATAAAACACAGCATATGGCAAAAACTATGGTTCAAAATAGCATTAGCTTTACTATAACACAACACTGAGATGCAGCTAAAGATGAGTGCATAGCAAAATACAACTTTTCTTTAGAGATCAAGAGGGATTAAATTCCCTTACCAGATAACTCCGCAGCCCATTTATCGGTATCTGCATATTCAAACTCCAAGTCTGGGGATTCAGAATAGCCCTGGTGACAGAAGGAAAATTCACTTTTAAACAAAGCACGTTTCATTAAAAAGCATCAGTAAATCAGTCAGAACATTAAAAGTTAACCCCCTGCTGCAGGCTCATGCTGCATCTTCAGCCGAACACCCGGCATTTACCAGCAGATCTGAAATGTTTCTGAGGCAACCTGCTGTGTTATCCCCCGTCTTCTGGGCTGATGTAATACTGACTGCTCTCTTGTGTAACCTTGCTCTGCGCTGCTGCGCGCAGCCGTACGTGATCTCTACACACAACTGGCCTCAAGACAACTTGGGGCGTGGGGATCTCCTCAAGTGAAAATCACTGTGTAAAACAGACAGAAGCTCTCGTTTAATCCTAGCATTAAAGGTCTTGACCACAGGGGCCTCAGAGACCGTACTGATGTCAGACAGCATGAACCCCTGCAGAAATGCCTCGTTGGGATTTCACGTGCAGGAGGGCCCTCCACGCCGAGTAAGAAACAGACAAAAACAAGAAGTCCAAGAACACGGGGGAAAAGTGCCTGAGTGCAGGGGGGGGATAACAAGCCAGCGAGACGCCGGAGTCGCTTTAAGCCACCTGTCACAAGAAGAAAGGATCATCCTGCGCCTTTCCGAGGGGAAAGGGAAAGCTCTTCCTCGGGACTTCCTCAAGACACAGCCTTAATCTCCTGAGAAGAGGCCCTTTGGCCAGCCCTAACCGAGCTTTGCAACGGGCAAGCCTCCGGCTTTGAGAGCCTGGCCCGTCGCACCCCCACCGCTGGGAGCTCCTTCTTCTCCATCAGCTCCTGGGAAGGAGGCGGCATTTTCTTCTTTGAAAGACGGTGATCAATGTCCCAAGCAGCACAGCAGACACGACTCGGAAACGACCTGCTTGCGGGGCTGGGAGGGGACATGGCGTCCAGCCCCCCTGTACCACCCATCCCCCACCCGACCAACCCCCTGCCTGCCACAGGGACGGGCACCGTAGGGGGTGTCAACACACGCGAGACGTGGGGGCACAACCCCCCTCCATGCCCATCTAACCCCAACCCCTCCGCTGACCTCCGAGTCCTTGCGCTGGTTGCGGTTGAACTCGCGGCCCTTCCCGCCTGCCAGGCCCGGGCCTTGCACTGGGCCTGGACCCGGACCCAGACCCGGACCCGGCCCAGGCCCAGGCCCCGG